ATAGCTTCAATTGAAGAAAGATGCCCAGTGAGTTGGACATTTATGTTTTCAACCACCTTTTCTCTCAGTTGCTTAGATGTTGTAGCATTTGTACAACGAATGATGCAGCAATTGGATCTCCCAGAAACAGCTGTTTTTTGTTTTTTTTCTTACTATAATCATCTGGTTACCTGATCCGATTTAACAGCCTTTAAACAGTTCCTAAGGGAGCATGACCAGCTGTTTTTCTGTTATTCTCTCCGATCCATTGAACAGTTTCACTGGATAAATTGAGTTCTACTTTGAGAGATCTTATACTAACCAAATCAGGTCAGTTTTGTTTTTACAGCTTTTAGACAGGATGTTAACAGCCCACCAGTGATCCAAGACAGTACCAAGCTATCATTTCTGCCCACCTGTCTTTTCAGGTGGGCAGAACCATGTTTAGAAGCTTGTTGGATGAGACAGGAAATGTCTTAAAAAATCAAGAGAAGATGTCCAGATTCCTTCTTCTGAAACTCTTTGGCCTATCCTGTCTGAAACAAGAAAGTGAATCAAACAAAGGAAAGTGCAATGAGAAGAGAAATAGAGTGTTTGCAAAAACATTTGAGGTTCATCAATCAAATGAGGCATTTAATGCATTTAATCTAAGAGTGTCACAGCAGGACATTGGGAGACCAACTGTATGAAACTGCAAAGCTATTGTGTTTCTGACTTTATGTCTGTTTTGAGTAAATATGTACAGTAACTTTGTAGTTTGGAATATATATATTCATTTTATTGTGACAAAGTAGGGACATCAATGTATCTATTTTAAACAAAAACATTTCTGAAAGCTCAAAAAAGAAAACCTTAAGGTTTAAGGTTTGGATAGCCAAATATACTAAACCAGTTCACATCAAGCAGCAGTTTAAGATTTTTTAAATGTAAAACTTTTAAAAGTTGCAAAGTTAGAGGAGATGAATGTTGTCTAGCAATTTAAAGCCTTTCGTCATCCAATATCAAATTATATTGGTGATATTTGATGCATTTTCACAAACACCGCCAGTAGTTGCAACTCTTCTGAGTGATACTGAGAAAATAAATGCTTCTTTCTGCAGCCCTTTTTGAAAGCTTTTAAGATAAAGTAGTGACTCACAAAATAAATGCTGTCAGACAACTTGTTCATTATGTGTAGCTGTAACTCCTGATTCATCCATCTGTGAGCTTTAACAGGGGCCAAAGGTTTGGAGAGAGTTTTGTTTTTAGAACAGAAACTTCAACGTTTGAATCATTCTTACTGTATTCGCTGTACTTGTCACTCTTAAATTGTCATCAGAGGCATTTCCTGTCTTTTGAAATAAAATCAGTAATTTTTTAAAAAGCAAGTTCAATGTAGTTTTCAGAGATTTTCTGAAGGGAATTCACCTGTTCATCTGGTAACAAGCTACTGATATATTTCTAACACTGAAACCAAATTTTGCTCTCCTTCTAATGGTCTCATTTTTCAAGAAAAACAACACTTTTATTTTTTCCTCACTAACATTGATGTCAACAAGCTGAGGGGTGCAATCTCACACACCCACACACACACACAAATTTCTTATCCCACAGAGGGCAGTGATGATGTATGAGGGGAATGAGATGGGAGTCACAAGTCGATTGGCCCGCCCTTTTGCCATCACAAAGTAATGAGGTCTCAGGGGGAGGGGGAAGTCGAGGCATAATACCCCGACTCCCCTTTTCACATATTACTAATTGGTCAGCACAGAAGAGACAAGATGCAGCAAGTTTTAATGACATTCTCAGTATTTTCTGACAAATATTATTAGTGAGTAGGAGTGTCACTGTCATAAACGTTTGGTGTGCATACGCTAATCATCTGTACTGCAGATCCCAGGAAAGAGGGGGGTTTTATTGTTAAACTTTTTTTACTATTTCTCACAAATAACTTTACATCTTTGGCATTTGGTGCCACCAACAAGGACAAATAAGCAAATCCATGCAACTTGAGTGAATCATTTAAGTTTTTGCAAAGAAATTTCACACACTGAGGCCTTTAGAATGCGCATTGAAGAAAAGTATGTAAGTAATGAATTTATGGTGAATTTGTGACTGCTTTGCGGTTATTAGGTAAATTCCCAATGATCAAATCATACTATGGCAGTGTGATGTGTAAATAAAGCATGTTCTAAAGCCGTCTTTTTAATTATTACACCAACAAATGTAAAGCCAAGTTTATTCCCTAGTCCAGTTCCATAAAAACCTTTTTGCAAAGAGTAAATATTTTCAATAAAGTGACTGTTAAAGTCCCAATGCTTATTAGAATGAACACAACTCTAAATATTTGTTTGGCAGTGGGAGGATGAAGCTGTACGAGCCAGAAAACCATTTGAATTGTCTTGCAGTGAGCCTCTTAGATAACTTAATTAGCCTTGAGGGATGTTTATCGTCAGAGCCCTGACAAAGTGCATCCACTCGATATAAACATATATTTAACAGCGTGAGCAGAGGTAATGCATCGGGATCACTAATCCATTCCACTACATAGATCTTCATTGTTTGTTGGTGGTTTGCCATTTTTTGGCACAGCATCTTAGTTTTTCTACAGTCCATTTTGAGAACCATGATATATATGCTGTTATAGATGGAGTCTATCCTGGACTATCTCTGTGCTCAAATCAATTATTCATATTCTTAGCACTGTTTGGGGATTTTTAGAACATTGTTGGTCAGTTTTCTTTTTACATTTTTGTATGCATGAGTCTGCGTGTGCATTTGTTTTTATCCTGTGAGTATCGAGTAAATACAGAAGCTCATCTGTAGGGAAGCCACTTGTAAATGACACAGATCTATTTTTCGACCTATTCTCTACCTGCTTCTCATTCTAATATCTGTTTTGCATTTGATTCGAGATCCTTTCCCTCTGATCACTGATGCTTCTGTTTGTATTTTTAATCTGTCTCATCCTTTGGCCATCTTTGTCTTCACATAAAGATGAATCCTGACTGCAGCATACTACAAGTTCTCATTTACCAACTGACTTACTGTCCCACTTTGGTCGGCATTACAATAAATATTTCAAACATGCATTTTAGTTTTTAACCTGTAGCAAGTAAAAAAAAAAGTTGAAAAAAAAAATTAACCCAAAAATTTTATTTGGGAATTGTGGTAATTAGCCAAATAAAGATTATCAATATATCTCATAGCACATTAAAGAAATGACAATACCTCTTGACTCACATATAAGTAGTGAGGCTTAATAAGATCATGCTTAAGCCAGTCTGAAACCCAAAGCCTTATTAAGCTTAATGATACCCTCATGACTCGGAAAGCTGCCAAGAATATGCACCGAGTCATGAAACTTTCATGAAAGAAATTCATGCAAGCTGATGGAATGTCTTCATTTACAAATGAAGCAATATAATTGAGTAGGCAGAGCATGTTTGTTAAGTATACAGAAAGATGCTCAGAAACTAAAAAAAAATCTTAATCTTACCATTCAAAGGTGTTTTAAGCATTATGCAAAAACTTCATTTTTACTCTATTCATATAGTTTTTACATTTTTCTGTAGAGAGAAACAGAATAATTAATTAAAACATTTCCAGTTGGATGTTGTGAAAGTAGTTAATAAAGTGCTTAATAAACAGTTACATTGTGTATCTCAGTCTCACAAATTGTGAGACTGCAGATGTTTGCTTCCAGTCATGCAAGTTGAAAATACAGTTTTAGAATTAAATAACTTCTCGTCTATTACTTCTATTGGTTGCCTGAAAAAGGTGAATTGCTGACCAGAAAATGAGAAGGACTAGATAGAAAAAGGTTTTCAGGCCACATAATTTCTAGTTTGAAGTATTATTATAGGACATTAATAGGAACTATGAAGCACACCTGAAAATGTTTCCCCAGGACTTCACTTGAAATTACAGTGTGAGCATATAAACACAGCTTGACAAACAGACATGTAGGAAAATTTGATAGAGAAAAGCAAACTGTTTTAATATGTAAAATCCCCTGCAGAAAAAATATTAGTTGTGGAAAACTATTTCCTCTGTACTCTCAACAAATTCTATTGCTGTATTTTCCAACGTAAATTTTGTGTTAGTTTGAATATAAAATATGTAAAAGCATGGACATCCTGCTTCAAAAACTTTTGCAAGCTATTTGCTTTACCAGCATGCCATGGCATATGTTATATTTTCTCAAATCACAGTACTTGTAGTTCGTATTCTAATGCTCTTTCAGGTTGCATCAAAGCAACAACTATATTTTCTTGAGTTGTTTTTTGTGGGGAAAAGATCTAGATACTAAAGGTCAATATTGAAAGTGGATAAAGTAATGATTCCAATTATATATGTAATATTTTTGATTTCACAACTAAACAGCTATAAACACTTTAGAAATGTTTTAGAAAATATTTTAGAAAAGTTTCTAAAGAAATTATTTGTTTTGGTTTAAAGGTGAGAAGAATAATTTAGTTCCCATCTTTCTGGATTAAAGACTGGATTGCTATTTTCAAAACAGGAGTGATACTTTGAAATGATCTCACGACTGATCTGATGTGTATGCTCTATGTTTTACTTATGTGTGTCATAGTTTTTCAGTTAAATGCTAGTGTCAATATGTCATAATGACACACCTCATTTTGTAGAATTTATGATGGATTTCAGTGCTGTTTTTGATGGGGTGCAAGGTTTGATGGGATGTGTTGAAAGAGCAACACACTCTTCAGAAAACAGGTGCTTAATTCTAGCCAATGATGTGCAAAACCAGGCAAGGTTTGGACACCATTGCAAACCTTGGTGTGCAATGGTGAACAGTTCAACAGGGACAACAATGTTGGAGAGGCTGTGTGAAAATAGGCTGAAACTGGTCTAGAATCAATTTTCATCATCTCTGCTGCAGCTGCTGCCTGGTTAGGTCATTTAAGAATGGAGAGAAGCATGTTGGCATCAAGCACACAATGAGCTCCAGTCAGATGTGAGGAAAGCTTAAGGATGTTGCTCTGTGTCCAGAGGGCTGTTCCAGGGCAGGATCTTACCTCTGCAGATGGTGCCATTCCCCACATAGCCTGGCTTGCAGGTACACAGGTGTCCTCTGATGGTGTTGGTGCAGATGGCATTCTCATCACACAAGCTTTGGCCGCTGGCACACTCATCGTGTTCTGCGGGAGACGGAAAGAGAAAGTCTGCCATCATAATGGTCCGCTACATCTGTATTTTTGCTGTGTGGAAAAGTCGTTTTCTTTTTTTTTTTTTTTCCCAAGAGGCAATAGAAAGTCAGCTATGAGAGGGTGTTCACAACAATTTGGATAGAAAAGCTGTGATTATTTAGCTAAATAAAGCTGAAGCCAAGATTCTATTGTGTCAACAACCGGCTCTTTGAACAACTATGTTTGCAATCAACTTTCATGCTTGCCATTCCCACAGTGGATTACAAGTGTGCTGAGTCATGACAGTGAGTGGTCCACAAATCACCCCAATTAACAATTGACACATGAAAAACAACATCTGATGTATGCCAGGTGTGCAGGCTGACTGATTCGAATCAGAGACAATTAGGCCACTTTTTAGATGCAGAAACCACAGGGAACCACAGGGAACATTGGTTAAATTACCTAAAGTGAATAAAGCAACTGAACTTTTGTTTGCACATTTATCTAAAAATTTTGAAAAAAAAAAATTCTCATAGTGAAAGAAAATGTTTTATTAAACATTTGAAAAACGATTGCTTTTTTAAGGAAATACATAATAACCAAAATAATATATAAAATCTTTTTTAACACATTGTAACTTTGTGCCATTGTTTTGCCATTGTGATTGTCCCATTTTTCAGCCAGTTCCAAAGTAAAATAAAAGCTAACTTTGCATTTCCTGCAATGTATTTGTTACTCATATTCAATCTTTTTTCGACTATTCCTCAGAACTACACATGGCCTTTGGCAAAATGAACTAAGTTTCTTAGATTGCAATTAACTCTAAAATGTGAGAAACTCTGGGCCTTTGCAAAACATTTTACATTGACAGGGATTTGCAGATTAAGTTTTAACAAAAGTCTAACTATTTTGTCAATTTAAATACAATTTTACAGGTTTAGTTTATTACTGAGCAGATGAAATAAAAAAGACATAAAAAGTTAGTTTTAAAATAATTTTCTGCAGCCCCCACAGTCCACAAAACATTTGGACGGCACTGGAATAGATGGCATCGAAAAGGCAGAGGAAGTTCTCTCTCAGAAATTCTAACAGATGGGGGTTTATGACATCCTGGATTTTGTTCATGAAATTGATTACAGTCACTCCTCGGAACATTAAATTATAAAGGTTCTCATGGACAGTATTTCATAATGAAATCTCCAGTGATCAGCCCTGGTGGTTGTGTGAGCTGAGAGAGGGGAGAGACTGGATCTAAGATGCAGCTGGAGGTGAAGGGCCACTTGACATGGGTTGTCTCATTGGGAACTGTTGTGATAGGAGAGTGGTGGGACTTAAGCCGTCGAGCTTTTAAGCAGAATATTGGCAGGTTTACAACGAGGTAGGCATTGTGTCTTGAATAATAAAAAAAAAACACCCTCTCCATTAAGGATGTATGCATAAATTCCATAAACGAGTGTAAGAAACCACTACATTCTGTTTCAACTGGTTATAAAATACTTTGTTTCCTGTTTGCAAAATCTATTTAAGTCAGTTGGATTTTCTCTGCTTTGCTTGTTGTGAGTTAGCTAAATTTTTTAAAACCAGTTTAAATATTTGAATCTAAAAAATTTTGACTTCATAACTGAGTCTCTTTATGAATCGTAAAATCCAACTATGCTTTTTTTTTTTCACTGTGACTTCCCCTCCCAATAATTACGAGAAGAAGAAAAGCAAGATTAAACGATTATTGAGTGTCATTCATTTTCCTTATCAAGCTTATGCTCAGTCTTGTGGTATAAATCCAGTACACTTACTCCCTGCACAGTTCAGACTTTTGCCCCCTCAAAAAGAAATCCCTTCCTGGACAAGCTATAAGATTTTTTGTTCAGCTTGAAGCAAGACTATTGAAAGAAAGTTTTTGTTCCATGAATCATCAAACAAAGTAATGTCATTATGGGAAGTGTTTGTATTTTAATATCTATTCCATTTTATTTTCTTGCCTTTTAGCATAACATATAACATCAAGGAACCACCTAATAAAGCTTTTTGAGCTAACCTCTGTCTACTTCTACACAGATTGTGAAGTAAAAAGACTGGTTGTTAAGACTAGATATTTCTGTACAGTGCAGAAAAATCAATGTTGTAGATCCTAACATAATTTTACATATTTATTAGTGATAAGCTAAATATATGCTCAGTGATATGCTCTGTACAACATGGCCCAAAAGTTTATGTATCTTCTGTAATATAGAAACAAGTGGATGTCAGACATAGCCTGCAGTTGAGTACACTCACAATTCACACTCGCATGCACACACACACTCCTCATCAATGTACAAAAGCTCGGTGGGAGTCATGACTAATGTATTCTGCTTAATTAATGAGTGGTGCTCATGAAGTCCTGCAGCGACCAGGAGAAATTATTTTGCCTTCATCATCCCATGGATTTCTTCCCCATGCTCAACTATAAAGTAGAGGTAGGAAGTGAAGCGGAGTTTACAAAAGGAGCCAGCAAAAACAGATTTCATTTGTGACATGGTTAAATATTTAGTAGGTTAATTTTGAGAGATGGTAAAGAGAGGAGCAACATGAAACACTGAAATACTAATACATGTTGTTTGAAGTTACTTCTGTACACCAACAGATGGACAGACTGAATTAATGTGTAAATAAAAATACACAAACACAAGTCAGATATTATGATCAAGAAAGAAATTAGTACACATTGTCTCTCAAAAAGTATTTATACTTTTGAATTATTTTGACATGTAACTCCCGTAAGTTTCAGTGTGCTCTGATGGAAATCACAAGCGTGATTGACAGCACTAAGACCCTCCCCCTGGCTCTGATTGGTTCTTTCTGACAGATCTGTGCATTTCTAGAGATAATGCTGGGAGAAAGCAGAGGACCTTGATTTTTCCCACAGATTATCTGTCTCCTACTAGACTGCTAGACTGCAGTGACAGCTTTTAAAAAAAAACTTTAAAAAAAACATATTGTCACCTTCCTAAAGTAATGCCCCGAGTCATTTTTTGGGAAAAGTTTCCATTTGTTTTTTTTACAAAAATCACTTTTGCTAAAAAAAGATTAGACCATTATTTTAGGAAGGTGACAATGGAAAATAATGGTGTGGCTCACAATATCCAGACTCCTTATAGCTACCAGTAGGTTGAACAGCGATTCCTGATTGAGGAAAAAACTAAACAAACAAACAAAAAAAAATACTTAAGTAAATGGCTAAGTATGTAGCTTTTTTAAATGAAAACAAGTTTTTAAGAATATTTTTATATTGTTTTGAGTGTTGTCCTCAAAGGTACAACTAGGATGATTTTGTGTGTTCTAAAGTAGAGCGTTATATTATCTAGTCTGAGCGAAAAACAGTTAAGATCATTTAAATGTATATTTAAAGACATTTGATAAAAAAGAAGTATAATCTAGCACAGTTCATCACTCACCTAAAAATCACGCTGTGATAGCTGCCTATCATACCTGCAGGAGAACTAAAAAATTAATTACCTCTGTCACAGAATTATTAATGGGACATTTTAACCATTAGTGGTTGGGAAGATCTAATAGACTGTTCAAGTGAGTGTTTTTCCCCCATAATGTAGTAAATCCGAACAATAAATGATTATGTCAGTGAGAAATGATTGCATTGCCAGTGGTTACCTTAGCGATTCTTTGCGAGATAACAACCGCCTAAAATGAGTGCGCTGCCTGTCTCTGTCAGATTTTTTTTTTTCCTAATTAGTGATGATTATGTAGTGATGTAGAGTCAAGTCTGGACATGTTGAGGTGACCCCTGAAGCGCTGAGCTAATGATGCATAATAACGGATCATCATCATCAGGACCATGCACAGCGCCCAATGCGCTCTCTGGCTTCTCCATCATGGATGCCTTGAAGAGCATGAAATATTAGAAGGATTGACGCTGATTTTATTTTCCAATTAGAAAAAATGCTCAGAAAGAAAAGGTACTGACAGAGCTGCATGTCTTAGAAGGTTAGACAAGTCACTGCTCCCTAATGCTCCCGACAGCACAAATAGATCAATGAGATTTTGAGTTCTTATGAACCATCAATATTAATGATAACCATCTCTATTTTACACATTTAAGGCTAAAATATTATCGAGTCACTAAAATATATGCAAACATTGAACACAGAATATGTTTTTTTTTCATTTAATCTCACTTACAAAAATACTTCTTTTTTTTACATAATTGCGATCTCATTTATGAACAAGTTGCTATTATAATGTGAAGTTTACAATTGTAAAGGATACAATTGATAAAGTTTGAAATTCACTGCAATTTATGTTAAATGTTGGCAAATATAATAACAAAAGCCTAACTGTGTGAGGCTTTGAGAGCACTGAATATGCTTGTTATAGCTGACTAAGAAATAAATATTGCTTTACCTTACAAAACACCTTTGGTTGGCAGTTGTGGGTGTTTGCAAAATACATTTTACCACACTATATCCTATGAAACTGGTACAAACTGAATCAAAACAAAATTAAAAATTGAACAACTGAATTTGTAAAAATGGCAAAGCAATCAAACGATTGTCTTTCAAGTGTCTCTAATTCTGTCACAAATCCCTTTTATGAGACACAGCAGGGAGTCTGGTTTGACTTCTGAGGAACATCCTCTTCTTAAGCATCCCAGAATCAGTCGGTGTGTCTGATGCTTTTCTAGCGTAATGCAAACTGTTTCTTTTTATATTTATACATTCAAAATTAGTTTCAATTTATATCAATTTTGTTTCTTCTACATAATCTTCATAATTAGAAATATAACAAATTATTTTACAAAGTAAAAGAAACATAAAATTATTTACATAATAAGTCACACAAGAAGACAATGCAAAATTACATTGTACAAAGACAAATTAGAAACGTCAGAATTCAGATAAAAGACCTGCAACGTAAGGGAAACACATAAATAGCATTAAATATTAAAGTAGCACTACATAATTTTGTCTAAAAAATAGTTTTTATCAAATGTAAGCCCTTTCAAATGACAAACA